CAAGATCCGATACGCCCCAACATACTACGCGACCTCCCCTGACCATCAGAGCATTGACTTAATGAGGCAAGTAAACATCAAATCCAGAATAAACTCAGAATTTCCTGCAACAATGGGTGATATCCAATCAATATTATGGTGTTTTGCTAATGTTACATTTCATCCACTTTCGGATCCTCCTATCTATGTTAATAAAAAGAAGACGGTAATCCCATAGGATATGGTGCATATCAATTCGCCAGGTAGCATATAGTAGATAAATGAGCTGAGAGCCAGTAGAAGTAGCTCTAAATGCAGACATACTAGGCCATGAGGCGACCTGTAGACTACGAGGATGTATCGAGAGAGATTGGGAGCGGTGGTAAACGTCGTTCTAAGTCTATATTGGGGCGATGGCGTGGAACCGGAGTTGGCACCAATGGTGGAGCAAGGCGGCTGGGCATTTCGATGGTGGCTTCAATCGGCGTCATTCGGTGAGTCGTATAAGGGGTTGTTGTCCCAACGTTCGTATTAGATAGCCGATCAAACAGATCTTGATATGGCGAGGTGATTCTGGGTTGCCTTCTATCCTCAATGGGAGCAAGAGGGGACTGACTGAGGGGTATCCGTCTTCGTGACAAACTAGGGAACCCATCGAACAAGGTTTCTTCCACTACAGGGCTGGGACTTGGTGGCCGGTGTAATGGAGAAGGTATAGATATATTCGCAAGAGGGGGGGATGAGATGGGTACGGTGTTTTGACGTGATCTAGAGCCTGTTTCCCGGACAGATTCAGTAACACCCACATTGTGGTTGGTAATTTGCGTAGGTTCTATTTCCCGATCATACACGATTTCATATGGCCTTCGGAGTCTGTTTCGTGGACCTTGAATTTCCGAAGAAGAGTTCCCAATCCTTGCGAATAATTCCTGTGGATTGAGTGGATAGCTGGTGTGCCTAGCTGGTGTTGAAGCAGAGAGGCTTGGTGTGGTATCAAAACCTTCTGGTTCATAAAAGGTGGTCGCTTCCTATAGACAAGAAGTCAGTTTATAGCTTCGCGGATTCGATTGTGAGCTCACATGTATGAAATCCGTGTCCTCTGTGAGGTTTGGTATGAGTTCCATG